CTGGGTCTCCCCAGGGCCTGCAAGGGCACACCCACACTTTCTGACCTAGCACCGAAAGCCCTTTCCTGGAAAACCTCTGCCCACCTGTGCAGGTCCCTCTGGCTCCTGTCCCTTTCCTCCACCCTCACCACCTCTGCCCTGGCCACCAAGGTCATATTACTTTCACAGTTCTATGCCTCAGCTCACGCTGCTGGTCCCTAGACCTGAAGAAGCAAATTGCTCCCCTCGCCTGTTTTTTTCTGCTGAGCCACAGATGTCACCTTCTTCAGAAAACCTTCCCCTCAAAATCTACCACCCAAGGCCTGGGTCAGGTGCTCTGAGTCCTTAATGCCTATGGGAGCTTATATCACAGCATTTATATTGTCTGGTTACTCCTGCAGGAGTTTACCAAACTGCATTTCTTGAGGGCTGAGATCACACAGTTAATACTAATACCCTCATTGCCCAGCACAGTGCCCACACTGCAGGCCCTCAATAAATGGAAACAGCAAAAAAAGATGGAAGAGAGTGTAAACTGCAAATGGGAGCACGTCCGTGGGGTCAGTCTGCTGTCAGGCACCCCGGGGCTCTCCCACGTGCAACCAGAGGGTAGCTGCAGAGGCCAAGAAGCAGTCTTGTGTAGTGACTGTCTCCAGGTTAAACAAGCAGGACAGGTGTCACCTAGCTGGAAAGGGCATGTGGTAAGAAAAGGTAGAAACAGAATGAGCCAAGTTAGGCATTTCTTCTGATTTTTCCAGCAGGACTCTTACTTAGGTGACCCCTAACCCCACTCCCTCACCCCACCAAAGAATCCCACCAAGGTTGTTGGTTTCACCACCTCAGTATGTTTCTTGCATTCTTTCCTGAATTTCTTTTCCCAAGCACCTCATATCCTGGCCCTTCTAGTCTTGAACTTTTCCTTTCTGGCTCAACCACACTCCCCTACAGAGGGATCCTGCCTTCTGAGTCCCATCCTAAGATATGGTTCCAGGTAGGGGTCTCCTGTGCCTTTCTGGCCAAGGCCATCTCCCCAACAATTGATCCCTGAGGCCTCTGTCAGTTCCCTATTTCCTCAAGGCCCCAGTGCCCTGTGCCCCATTCCTTATGGGGTCTTCACTTTGTCCATTACCCCTAAGGTATGGGGAACACCTTGCCCTGTACTCCATCCTTCCATGATCTTTACCTCCATCCTGATGTCACCCCTATCCTCCAGGCCCTGTGTCGTGAATCCTATCCAAGAACCCCTGCCCCTGTCAGGTTCTCCTTAGTTCCCAAGGCAGCTAGTGCCGACCTTTCAAGCTCTCTGCGGCCTCGAAGAATCTGCTTGGTATTCTGAGGCGGGATTCCTTCTTTAGAGACTTCATGGTGCCGCCCGGACCGAGAGCGTGGCCCCACGTCGCGGGGACCCAGGATAACTTGGCCGTGCGTCACCCCACCAGGCGACCCCGCGCGCGTCCGCCCGCCATTGGTCGCAGCTGCGTCCATAGCAACCAGCGCCCCGCGACGGAGCGCGCACCCACCGAACAACTTGGGCGGAGACTGCTTGGAAGCCACCTTTTTCATACGGTCGCCCCAACGCGCCCGCCAAGGGCCGCTCCTTCCTCATGCGAACCCTGAAAATACCTGGGGGCCCGACCGTGACGTCACAGGCGATGCCAGTTACTCCCGTGAGGTCACCAGCCGGGAGGGGCGTGGGTGGAGCGAAGCTGGTGGGGGCGGGTGGGAGGAGGGCTGCATGATCCGCCCCGCTCCTCCCCGCACTAGGCGAGGGTGCGTCCGGCTGCCCTGACCGCCCCAACTCCTGCCTTCCCTCTGCCCTTTCACACAGCCGCCACAGGATCCTTCCTTTCACCTCCTGCCGAAAACCCCTGGAGGGCTTCCGGAGGATTTCATTTCCCAAGACCCCCTGCCTGTCCCTTACATGGATGGGCCTGTTGACCTCCTCCGCCCTCGCACGCTGCAGCCGCTTTGGTCTTCCATTAATTCCTAAACCGGTCAAGCTTCCTTCCCCTCCTGCCCAAGGACTTGGGGCCTTCTCATACTGCTGGTTTCAGTCTTTGGACTGAAAGATTGCCCTTGACTCCCGTTCCCCACTTTAAAGTAGCCCCTTTGTTATCTCAACTTTATAATTGCACCCAGTTCATTTATTTTTCCGGAGTCCTAACGCATTCTGGGATTATTTTGTTTGTCCATGTTCACTGTCGTCAGGCAATGTAAACTCCCTAAGGGCAGGGAAGCCTGTCCCTTGTTCCTACCTCAACCCAAAATTTAGCCTATAGTGGTCACTCTATGTGGAATAATGAAGGGGCTCTAGAGCCAGACACAACTGAGTTGCAATCCCACCTCTGCCTCCTTGCTAGCTGTGTGTTCTTGGGCTTGTCCTGTGACCTGAGCCACAGCTTTCTCACTTAAAAAATGGAGGTCATAATGCCGCCCACACAGGGCCACTGTAAAGATTAACTGAGAGTTTGCATTTAAACCACCCAACATAGTGCCCTCCATAAACTGTAATGTCTTCTCAATCAATTCTCAAAAATTATGCTGGGGTTGGGGGAGCAGGTGCACTCTGTACCCATTTTACAGATAAAAATGGAGCTTCAGAGAGTGGAAGCATGTAAAGTCACCTGACTAGCAAGGAACACAATTTGAACCTGGTTCTACCAAGTCCAAGGCCTTATCTCTTGGGCCATTTCTGAGCTTTGCTGCAGTCTGCCCCAGACAGGGAACTAGGGAGGATGCCAGGAGGGCTGGCCAATCCTGGTGCTCCCTGTGTGTTCTCCACTACTGGGCATCTCCCGGAGGCATGGCTCCTTCCCAATGCTCCCCTAGACCTTCACTCCTCTTACGACTGAGACATCCTCCACGGGCAGCTCCTCCTCTCCTGCCCTCTGAGGCCCAAGCATCAACCTCCTTCCACCATCCAAGGAGTCCCCAGTTCAGTTCACTCCATGAATGCTTACTGAGCACTTATGATACACCGGGCTGGGAACTGTAGACAGTCACTGTGGTGGAAATAGTGCAAGAGGCTTTTTGTCAGGAGCACTAGGGGCTCTCACTGTAAGGCCCATGAAAGATGAAAGGGAAAGAAGCAGGACTGGGTTGGGAGAGCCTCAGACTATGTTGCAGATCTGACAAAGTCTTGGCCAACCCCATGTGGACCTCTGGGGCAGAAAATGTTCCTCAGGGGCTGTCAGCTAACTGTAAGGTCTTTCTTGAAGGGAGATAGGAACAACTCATGACCATGGCTGCCACAGGAGCTCTGCAAGATATGGAGGAAAATAAATATTTTCTCTAGTCCTCTAGGAGCTCAGATAGAAGACACACACTCATGAAACTCCAATCCATTCGCCCAGCTTCAGGAGGGCGTTTACCTTTGGGAAGTTGCACAGCTTGTGGGAAACCTGGCTGGGGCAGGACAGAGGCCTGGGGGATGTTTAAGGAGGATTCAGTGGAGGTTAAAAGACGAGGGAAGGAGGGAGTGGGAGAGGCACTTGGTTAGGCAGACACACAACCTGGCGGGGCTTAGCTACCAGCCTCAGTGACTTTGAACAGGTTTCATCCCCTCTTTGTGCCTTCGTATCACCATCTGCATCATGAAGTTGTTAGACCAGATTAGTGCTGCTTAACCCTTTGAGAATCTGATCGAAGCCAGGAAACCTTCCCAGAAATATGCATTTTTTTTTTTATGGTAGTAAAATACACATAACATAAAACTCACCATTTTAACAAATACAATGCAGTGGCTTTTAGTACATTCACAGTGTCGTGCAACCATCACCACTGTCTAGTTCCAGAACTTTTTCATCATCCCTAATCAAACCTTGTATCCATTAAATATTCACTCCCTTGGCAACTACTAATCTACCTTCCCTCTTTATTGATTTATCTATTCTGGATAGTTCTTATAAATGGAATCATACAGTATTTGGCCTTTTGTGTCCGCCTTCTTTCACTTAGCGTAGTGTTTTCAAGGCTCATCCATGTTGTGGCATGTATCAGTACTCCAGCCTTTTTCATGGCTGAATAATATTCCACTATATACCACATTTTGTTTATCCATTCATCTGCACATTTGATTTTGCATTGAATTCCAGGGATTCTCTGAAGTTTGTTTGTGTGCCCCTGGGGTGGGGTGGGCTATCATCAGTGTGCCTTAGGCACAGAGCTGGTTCACCTGAAAATGGGTTTCGAATTCTAATGTAAGTCGTCAAGGGCTAGTGATTACTGGTGACTTGGGAAAGGCAGAATGGATATTAAGGAAGCCTTCTTAGAGGAGGAGCATCTGAGGTGGGCCACTAAAGGTAAGAGTTCAACAGGCAGGGCGGGCGGCAGGCACTCCCGAGAAGGACTCAGTGGGAACCAAGGCCTGGAAGGGATAAGGCACAAGTTTGGGGAACAGCATCATTTAGCCACCACAGCTTTAGCAGTCTTCTCCCGACTTGGCAACTCTGAGTAACCTCCTCGAGCTCAGGGAGGAGGAGGTGGCTGGGTTGACAGAGGACAAGACATCAGTTATTGCTTCATGTCTCTGTTTATTTCCACCCAGCCAGGTGCTGGGCACGTTGTCAACTCCTCTTTGCAGAGGCTAAACAGCCTCCCTAAATAGAAAGTGTGTTTCCTGCACAGGCTGCATCATCCCTTTCCAGGGACAGCCACCCTCCAAAGCCTGAGGCCAGCATAGTCTGTTCTCAAGTCTGTCACAGCTAACTCACCCCTTCATGTCTGGATCCCTCCTCCCAGTTTATCCTGCCACTTCTGTCTCATCTCCACATACACGCTTGGCCCTCTCCCATGTTGTCTGTACTGTCCCCCCCTACACATCTGGCTCACTCTCCACATCTGGGTCATTTCCCCCTTTAATGACACATCACACTCTTAGACCTTTGCTCAACATGCAGCAGGATTCTTCCATTCTTCTTGGCCTTGAAGTCAGGCCACAGCTGGACACTGTTCTCAGAACGGCCTGACTTCAGCCTTGGGGGTGATATGCAGACTCTGGGCACCACCCCTAGATGCAAATTGCTCTTAATCTCTTCTGGAGAAGGACACAAGGAGAGATATTTTAAGGGCCACATAAAATAGGGGGTAGGAGCAATGGGGACTTTGGAGCAAAATGTTAGTTTGCCTTTCAGTGTTGCCCCTTCCTAGGCCATGTCCCTCTTTAGAGTGGGGAGAGTGCCAATCTCACAGAGTTACTGTCACCCTCTGTCATCTCATCCTGTTTTGCTATGCTCAGAATCCTTATCCTATACTTCCATACAGTCTGTCTGTCTGCCCTGACTAAAGCATAAGGTCTAGGGAGCAGAGGCCTTGCCTGTCAGATTCACGGCTGTATCATAGTTCCTAGAATAGTATCTGGCACACGTGGGCCATCAATAATGGATAGGGATGGGGGGAAGCCTGGAGAAGTGTCAATGGATTCATGGTAGCTGCCTTCCAATATCTGCAGGGGCGGGCAGGGACAGAGCCTAGCTCCTTCTGTGCAGCACCCAAGGGCAAAACTATGAACCACCTGGGAGGTTTGCTGTAAGACTTCTAAGAATCCGAGTGCCCTCCTGGTACAGGAGTTCCAGCACAGGCCCTGGGATCATCTGCCTGGGCTGCTGTTGAGGACATGCTGAGGTGGATGGACACTGAGTTCTGGGGCTCTGTGCTGAGGCTCTCCCCTAAAATGAAGGCTCTCTTCTTACATGCCAGTCCCTCCCTCCTTGTCCTGGTCAGGAGAAGGCTGCTTGCTGAGGGCAGATTCAGAGCCAAGGGAGCTGGTTTACCTTGGGGTTTCTTTTTCTAGATTGTAGGGATAACTGAGGAATTGCCCTGTCCTACCAATGTTCTCATTGTTCTCTTGGAACATGGCTTGGAACTGGGGGCAGTAGGGGATGCGGTGGGAAGATGCTGAATTAAAAGCCTTGGGCCCTTATCTCTGTCTAGCTGTGTTACCCAGGAACTGGTTCCCCAACCCCGAATCCCATCTACTTCCCTTTCAGAAGGGCTTCAATGCTTTCATCGACTTCCAAGGATCAATGCAAACAGAAAAAAAAAAAAAAAGGTGTATAAGTACTCTGAAAACTGTACAGATGAAAGGGATTATAGCTAAGGCCCAAACACTCAAATCCACTAGATAATTTCTCCCTTAGATAGTGTGATAGACAGAATAATGGCTCCCCAAAGATGTCTACATCTTCATTGCCGGAAGCTGTCAATTTGTTACCTTACATGGCAAAAAGGACTTTGCAGATGTGATTAAGGATGCTGAGATGGGGAGATTATCCTGGATTATCTAGATGGGCCCAATGTTATCGTAAGGGTCCTTGTAAGAGGGAGGCAGGAGGGTCACAGTCAGAGAAGGAGATGTGATGATGGAAACAGAGGTCAGAGTGATGTGGCCATGAGCCAAGAAATGCCGCAGCTTTTAGAAGCTGGAAAAGGCAGGGAATGGATTCCTTCCTAGAGCCTCCAGGAGGAATACAGCTCTGCTGACACCTTGACTTTAGCTAGCTCAGACTTCTGGCCTCCAAAACTGTAAGATAATAAATTTGTGTTGCTTTAAGCTACTAAGTTTATGGTGATGTGTTATGACAACAATAGGCTATCAATACAGATAAT